GAGAATTCGATTTTTTTTCTATTTTTGGGTTGTATTGTGTTGTAAAATAAATTTGTTAATTCTGATTATATTTTTATATTTTATATATTTTTTTATATATATTTTATATTTTATATATAGGGATTTGAAAAAAATAACAAGCGCCTTTGGTATCCTTGACATCAACTGACGACCAGGGGGGTTCACTGGATACGGCAAAATTGTAATCTTTTTTTTTTACGATAAATCAGTTGGTATGGGACGTTTACAATGCCTGAGAGAGAAGAAGATTTTTCGTACGAAATCGGTTGTATTCGGAACCATCGTAACCGTTTCAAATGTTTACTTTGCGTTAATAAAACTTTTAAAACTTTTCTATTGTCACATTTCGAGTATTTCTATTTCGCTTTTGTGGAGAACACCAGTAAACACAGCCAAGTAAGTAACATTTCCACAAATATTCTTTATATACGCGTGTGTCTAAGTACAATTCAATTAATGTATGTTGTATATTAGGATGGTTTTTTATTGTTGTGTCCAAGGATGTGATATTAAAAGCGGCGATGGTATTCCAATGAGAAAATTTCCTCCGGTTTCAATTCTCCATTGTTCAAACAATGGAAAATTGCTACGAGGAATGATTCATTGAAAAATATAGATAATCATGGATAATAAGGAAAACAAGGATGATTTGCAATCTTCATTTCTTTCAAAAGTACAGAAGAAAACCTTATTTTTATCAGTACGATTTACCGATTGGAGATCATAGACGAGTAATTATGAACCATCTATGAGGACCACACTGGAGAGGTAACTATTCAATTACTTAATACATTTATAATAATTGCAACTGTTGTACAACCAATTTGAACCAATTAGTAAATTCGTCCAAAGAACTTAAAATTTGTAACTAAAATCGTAATAATTTTAGTTTAATTCAATTAAATATAAACGTTTAACCATATTCGATAGGTAAAATGTGTCAACTATTATATAAAACTCAATTAAATTGATAATTAGTTAGGCAACTTCATTAACACCTTGCATGTTTAAATGTTATCCAGTTCACATAATCGTATTAGATCATCAACAATACTTCTCCAATGAGATGATATTCTCACAATAGATTTTTTTAATTAAAATTATAACATTTTGTGACAGAATTCTAATTAATAATATCGTCGATAGAGGGACAATATTTAGTATATGTAACCTGTGTTACAATCTGTTGCAAAAATATCGTAAACTTACCTGCAAATGGTGTATCTATTTAAAAATGTAATAAATAACAACGTAATTAACATGTCGAATCATAAATTGCAACCATTACCGCATTTTATATAGGCAACCAAACCATCACATCACCAAATTAACGTTAGCAACCTTGCTTATATAATATCCCTTTTTCAGCAGATTATTTGTAAACTTACCTTGCAAGCATATTAATTGTTACAATTCTTATTTTTAGCATACAATATTTTTCGCCACCAAGAGCTGGTATGTTACAGTAGGCGTAAATAGCGCAGAACCAATAAAATTAATTTCCCTAAAAAAAAAACATCGAAATGATGAAAAGACTCACCTGGCGCTTTCTAGGGTCGCGGATGGTGTTCTTCCGATAGCGCCGAACCCGACGCCGACAGCCAGACCTTCCGGTATATTGTGCACGGTGATCGCGATCACCAGCAACATAATCCTCTTCCACTGGCCGTGCTGAATTTCCTCAATGTTCGAGCCTTCCTCATATGTCTGGGAAACTAGTTCATCAGCCTGATTAGTATTTTTATTTCTACCTGGCGGATAGAGGTGTTACGGTGAGGGGAGGAGGAAGAAACAAAAAAGAAAAAAAACGCGCTGATCACAGTCCACCCTTTTTCAGCATTATTCCAATAGTATTAACACTCACCTCGTCGTCGGTGCGCTGCACCACCAACACCACCACCACCACCACTCTCGTACATGTCCACCGTCGCCTCTTCGACGGTGGCTATGTGCGAGTTCCTCTTCATCACATCTTCGTTTTTCTCTTTGCGAGTCGTCGAATGCAATGCTGCAAGCGGATTATTCTATACGGTGGACGTAATCGTGTATGGATGTTTATTTATTACCTAGCATCATGTTCGGAGAGTGCATGCCCAGATGGGTGATCAGAACGTCGGCGCCGAAGACGAACAGAGCACCGAGCAGGAATCCAATTCCGACAGGGATAAAGGAATACTCTCCGTTTTCACCATACAGTTTTGATTCCTCGGCCATTGCGATGGCTGGCGCCAGGAGCGACCAAAATGATGCAGCCGTCATTACACCTGCAGCAAATCCAAGACTCGAATCCAGTAGTTTACGCTAAAACAGAAACAAAATAAATGACATTTCAAATACAAATATGAAAACACTGCTTTTTCGAACGTTCATTTTTCAACTTTGAACGCGTATTACAGCAACATGGATAAGAGCACATGAATGTATCTATACTTGCTAGATTTCCCAAACATATAATACATAGAATGAATCAAAAGATGCATATGAAAGCTGAATGTTTGGGGAATCCAGCAAGTATCGATATATTACTGTGCTCTTATCCATATTGCTGTAATGCGCGTTCTTTTAT